ATCTTCAATGCTTTGAGATCATTTTTCAGTTCATCTGTCAATTCTGGAGCTTTCATACCAAACCAGCCATTGCCTGCTGTTTTTTGTCGCTCTTCCTAAAATTCAGATTTCAAATATACACATTAAAAAATCTGATAAGCAAAGCAGTTATTTATACCTAACTTCCTCTAAAATTGTATAGACGTGTTTATGAATTAAAAACAAAGTTATACTTTATGTAAAGAATTAGTCTTCAGATTCAGCTTTCATAAAAGGAATTAAGTTACAAAGAAAGTGATTTTTCTGGTAAGTCAAGTGCAGCATTATCAGTTTCAAATATGAGGGCTCCTTAAAATATATTTTATCTCTTAGCAAGCAATTGTCAATTTGCTGGGAGAACTGCCCATTGTTGTTGTTGTTATGTGCCATCGAGTCGTTTCCGACCCATAGCGACCCTGTATAGGGTTTCCGAGGGTGTAAATCTTTACGGGAGTAGAAAGCCTCATCTTTCTCCCGCGGTGCAGCTGGTAGTTTCGAACCGCTGACCTTAAGGTTCGCAGCCCGATTCGTAACCACTACGCTACCAGAACTGCCCATAGCTTCAATTATTATTGTCTAAAATAGCCAATCTAATAGATAGCGTATAAAAATATTTTCAACTGTGAAGCTTAAATGTTAACATTAATATTTTCATTCAATTAGGTGCCTCACTCCAACAGCACAGACATCTGGATTACCTCTGTAGTAAAACAAAAATTGCTTTTCTTTTGCAAATTCTTAGCAAGTTATTTTTAATTCATATAATAAATATTTGAATGTTTACCATTTCTCGTTAATAATGTACGACACTCCATGACATTTATGGAGTACCACTATCTGGGTAACTTTTTGACGCCTGTTGAGATGACAGAAGAGATTGTCCATATTTTACTGAAGAAAATGGGTTCTATCCTCTCATTTGGAAAACTAAAACCAGGGTTTGTATCATGCTGTATTTACTAAGTTCTCTATAACCATCTGTTACATGAGCTCCTAGCGCGTCCAATGTCAGCAATCCTCTATGGGGTTTCTGAGATTTTAAATCTTTATGGAAGCAGAAGACAGCCTCATCTTTCTCCTATGGAGTGGGTGGTGGATTTTAACCTCCAACCTTGCTTTAACAGATCAATGCTTATACCACAGTGCCATCAGGGCTCCTTATTGAGCAAGAACCTTTAAATCAAGAGCTGAGGATGGTATGCCTGTATGCTGGTGGTTACTGTTTCTAAGGTGGTGGTTGTTAGCTGCCATCATGTTGGTTCTGACTCACAGCAACCCTGTATAGGGTTTCTGAGAACAGGTTGTGGGTTTGAACTGCCAACTTGTGGTTTTCAGTTACATTTTTATCCTACAGTGCCACACCAGGACACCATTTTTAAGGTGGAGGAAGTGGGGGAACAACACCTGTATGTGCCGCTTTGGATTAAAAAATGTAAAAATTGATATAAAATGTTCATGAAACCATATTCACAGGTTCGTAAATATCTGTGGCAATTTCCATTTTTCTTTGTGTATATTTTAATCGCACAACCATGTAATATATTGTTGTTGTTGTTAAATGCCATAGAGTTGATTCCAACTCATAGTAACCTTGTACAGGGTTTCCAAGGAGCGGCTGGTGAGTTTGAACTGCCGAACTTGTGGTTCAAACTGACCTTGCAGTCCAGTGCTTATGCCCCAGCACCACACCAGGACTCCACCATGTGGTACATAAGTTATAAACATACCCAGACAGTCAAAGTGTTTAAATCTCTGTACTTACTCTTCTCTTTTTTTGAAGTTGAAACTTGGATTCTCTATATGGTGGGACAGTATAGTTCTTTTCAAAATCAGGTGTAATGATGGTTTTCTGCAAAAGCTATACAAATATTGAATGAGTTTTAAAATGTCAGAAGCGCTACACAAGTTTTCAGCATACCTAACTTATATAACACCTCCCACACTGAAAACTACTCATCTATTAACCTGCTTTATGAAACAGACACATTACTACAAATTATCCCCGATCTTAAACGTGAAAATCATAATCACATTAAAAACATTCCAGGAGGCAGATTGAAGGATTACTTTAGAGAATCTATACAAAATGAAAATTGATCTCAAATCCTCTTTTGCAATCTGAATCTGTACAACTAATAATTTAATGTGTCCACTTGTACTTATTATTTCCAACTGGTTATCTGCACTAAACTAGGAAACAACATCACAACTGTCCTTAAAAGTCCCTGAAAAACAACAAAAATGACTAATCTTTGATAAGCTCTACCGATGTTGGTAAAACAACTTCTTGTGGTCTGAGCAGATTAGGTTGTTGTTAAGTGCCATTGAGTCGGTTCCAACCCATAGCAACCCTGTATAGGGTTTCTGAGGAGCAGGTGGTAAGCTTGAACTGCTGATCTTGCAGTTCAAACGGCTTTGCTGTCTGACGCATTAACCCACAGTGCTACACCAGGACTCCATAAACCGTTAAAAATACAAGAACAATAATATAAATTAACACATTCTTTTCATGTTAGGCCAGCAAGATCATTCTATTCACACTGATCTGCAGCTGAACCCAAGAACATGTCTCCAAAGTCAATTCACATAGCTATAGATGAAGGTCATCATTTTTTTCTAAAAACATTTTTTTGAACAATATTGAAGTCTCCAGTTTTTTCCACTGATTCTTAGAAACACCATCCTGTACATTTTTTAATATTCTTGTAAAACAAATTCTAATACATGTAATCAAAATACATTTAAATTTTGATAGGTACTAAGTTGCCTTGCATCCAAATTATTGTTGTTAAATGCTGTCAAGGTGGTTTCGACTCAAAGCAACCCTGTAGAGGTTTTCCAAGGAGTGGTTGGTGAGTTTCAACAGCTGACCTTGCAGTTAGCAACCCAGTGCTCATCGTACAGTGCCACACAAGGACTCCTGCATTGAAGCTGTTGTTTAGTCAAACCTCTTAATCTTAAATGACTTCTGTTATTTTTTTTGCCTAACAAAATCCAAACTCACTGCCATGAAGTTGCTTCTGACCTACAGTGACCCTATATAGCATTTTCAGGGATTGCAGATCTTCATGGGAGCAGACAGCCTCATTTTTCTCCTATGGCGTGGGTGGTGGGTTTGAACCACTGTCCTTGAGACTAGCAGTCCAGTACTTATCCTATAATGCCACCTGGTTGTGGTTCACCAAGTTCCAACTCATAGTGACCCTGTACAGGGTTTCTGAGGCTGTAAATCTCTACTGGAGCCAAATGTCTTTTCTCTTTCTACCACGTAACAATTGGTAGAACTGAACTACTGACCTTGCAGTTAGCAGCCCAGCTCATAATCCACTACACTACCAGGCTCCTAAAAATGCCACTTGTTGTTGTTTAGTGCCGTCAAGTCGGTTCCGACCCACAGCGACCCTGAACAGGGTTTCCGAGGCTGTGAATCTTTACAGGAGCAGAAAGCTTCATCTTTCTCCCACTGAGCAGCTAGTAGTTTCGAACTGCTGACTTTGCGGTTCGCAGCCCGATTCGTAACCACTACACTACCAGAGCTCCTTAAAAATGCCACTTAGAAAAAAAAAAAAATGCCACTTAGGATGCTTACATTTCTCACAATACTGATCGTTTGGGTGATTAAAATGAGACTCTGAGTAATTAGTCTCTTCCCCAATGAAGACCCACAATACTGCATCTTAGCTCTCAAAATAGCTGACAGGAACAGTTTAAGCATTACTTTGACCAATGGCATTCAAAATTCAAGCTCAGGTCTAGAAATCTGTTTCTGAGTAGCATACTAGCAGTCTAGGCCTTCCTATTACTCTGAACATTTTGGTTGGGGTGAGAGGAAGAGTGCTGCTGGCATCTAGTATGAGGCCAGAGATGCTGCTAAACATCCTACAATATCTAAGACACCCCATGCCCCTCAGCAAAGAAGCATCCAGTCCCAAAGCTTAACAGTGTGGAGGTTAAAAAAACCAGTTTTAGGAAAACAAGATTACTGTTGTTAAGTGCCACTGAGTCGGTTCTGACCCATAGAGACCCTGTAGACAGTTTCCAAGGAGTGACTGGTGAGCTTAACCACCAACCTTGCAGTTCAACCGACTCTGTAGTCTAGCGCATTAATCCACAGCGCCACACCATGACTTCAGATGGTAAAGTATCAACTATACCCACAGTTACTACTTAATCTGATGTACACTGAGCTCACAAAAGCACAGATGGAGCAGGAAAGACTGACAGTTAAAGAGTCTGCAATGGCAGGAACACAGTGGGTGGGTAGCTGGAGCTAGTGGTACAGACACCTTGAAGGCTCTGAGAGCAAATGAAGAATTTCAGCAGAGGACCATGGTCAGATTTATGTTTTTAGAAAAATCTAACATGACCTTGGGGAGTGGTTTAAAGAACAAAGTAGAGGCAAGATCAGTAAGGAGGCTATTGCAGTGTAAAGATAAAGGTAAGGACTGGCTAGTAACAGTGGATATGAAAAGGCGGTAACACAGTAGAATGGTAGCTGTGAGGCAGAGTTCCCTAGGCTTGGTAACTGACTGCAAAGATAAAAGAGATTTGGGCATCATTAACCATAATAAAGAATACAAGAGGAGGAGTTAGATCAGAGAGAAAAAGAGGCAGGGAATTAGTGAGGTTAAGTGTCTGAGCTCATCTGAATGAACAGATTTTTATAAAACTAAACCAAACCAGCTGTTGCTGAGAACACTGATCCTATATTACTTTTATTTTCAAACAGTGTGTTTTACAAATTAGACCTTATAAATACATAAATATTATGTGGGAGGGGAAAAAATAGCAGATTAGGCTAACGTGGTTTCACTTAAGGGAAATTTCATCTTTTTATCAAAGACGAATCATTTCGAATAATTGTCATCAGGACTGACTGTGAGGGTTGGAAATGTTAAGGTAGACGTTTCGTAGCGAGAAGGAGTGATTAACTTTGCAGTCTAGGAGCGGAGGTCCCTGGGACCATTAAGGGAGAAGAGCAGAGAGCAGGACCCTACCCAGAGAAGCAGTGATGCCTGAGATGGAGGCAGAGACGATGACATGGCGAGATGGAGCAGTTGGAGACTTTAGATACAGAGAGGGAGAGGGGCTATGTGCTGATGACCGGGAAAGGGGGCGGCAGGCTTGCAGTATATACCTTTTGGTTGGTTGATGATGCATGGAGGGGATTGTAACCATGGCAATGAAACAATATACGATAGGATGAAGGTAAAACTAATGTTCTCCCATGTAAACTATCACATAATTCACAATAACACATTAAAAAAAAAAAAGATTAACTACCTCGGAAACCCTGTACAGGGTCACTATGAGTTGGAACTGACTCCACGGCACATAACAACAATACCCTGCTAAGAGGGAAATTGTTGCCCTTGATTTTCCAGGGAGAAAAATAGAGACTTAGAGCATTTCAGTGTACAACCTGTCACACAGTTAATAAATGAAAGAGCTGAGAGATGAATGAAAGACTGTGTGGCAGATGAGATGAAATATCACTGTGATGGCTCATAAAGATGATGTTCTGCATCCTACTTTAGTGAGTAGCAACTGGGATCTTGAAAGCTCATGAACGTCCATCTAAGGTGCAACTATTGGTCTCTCCACGTACAGAAGAAACATGATGAGAACTGAAGATGCTTGGAATCAGTTCGTCAAGTAGAACAATGGAACTTGTGAACATCTGTCACCACGACTCTGAAACGAAAAGAACTAGATGGTGCCCAGCTACCACTACCAACTGCTCTGAAAAGGATCATATTAAAAGGTCCCAGATAAAGTGGGGGAAAGTCTGGAATAAAACTCAAAATGCCACCCTTCAGGTCTGAAATAGAACTCACCCTCATGGCCCAATTTTTCAGCCCAGCAGTAGATAGGTATATGGGAAGGCAACAACATATTAGGGTATTTTCAACAAGGAATGGTTAACAACCACTCAAGATCAAAAGGGCAACAGTCACCTAAGGACAGGTTTGAAAAGGGGTGGGAAGGGCAGTGGGATGGAAATAAGAACCACAGGGAGGAAGTCGGATAACTGTTGTTACATGAAGGGGATTGCAATCATTAAGCTGAAACAAAGTATATGATTTGGAAAATATAAAACTGATGATCTTCTCTGTAAACATTCACTCAATTCACAATACAAAGTTTCAAAAAAAAAAAAAAAAAAAAAAAAAAATTTCAAAAAAAAAAAAAAAAAAAGACAAATCATTTCTAGAAAGGATAGTAAAGATCAAAGACTACAGCCCCGGTATGGATTGCACTTCAATATAAACAAAACAAAAATCCTCACAACTGGATCAGTAAATAACATCATGATAAATAGAGATAAGATCAAAGTTGTCAAAGACTTCATTTTGCTTGGATCCACTATAAACTTTCATAGAAGCAGTAGTTAAAAAATTATTTGTGCCCATTCCAAAGAGGTGATCCAATGGAAAACAAAAATCATTGGATAATTATCATTCATATCACATGCAAGTAAATTTGTGCTAAAGGTAATTTAAAAGCGGCTGCCAACTGTACATTGATAGAGAACTGTCAAAGATTCAAGGCAGATTCAGATGAGGACGTGGACTAAGGGATATTACTGCTGATGACAGATGAAACTTGGCTGAAAGCAGAGAATGCCAGAAAGATGGTTAACTGTGCTTTACTGACTGTGCAAAGGCTTCTGACTGTGTGGATCATGACAAGCTGTGGGCAACTTTGTGAAGAATGAGTATTCTGGAACACTTAATCGTGACGAAGAGGCAGTTGTTTAAACAGAACAAGGGGACACTGAGTGATTTAAAATCTGGAAAGGTGGGCGCCAGGGTTATATTCTTTCACCATATTTATTAAATCTGTATGCTGAGCAAATAATCTGAGAATCTGGATTATATGAAGAAAAATGTGGCATCGGGATTGGAAGGATTAACAACCTACAATATGCAGAAGATACAATATGCAGAAGTTAACAACCTACAATATGCAGAAGATACAAACTTGTTTGCTGAAAGCTATGAGGATTTAAAATAAAATACTTACTGATAAATAGCAAAGTCCACAGCCTTCAGTTTAGATTGCATCTCAATGTAAAGAAAACAAAAGTCTTCACCACTAGACCAATAAATAACACCATTACAAATGAAGAAAAGACTTAAGTTGCCAAAGATTTCATTTCACTTGGATCCACAATCAACACTCATGGGAAGCAGCAGTCAAGAAATCAAACGACATATTGCCATTAGGTAAATCTGCTGCACAAGACCTCTTTATAGTGTTCCAGAGTAAAGATGTCAGTTTGAGGACTAAAGTACTCCTGACCCAAGCCACAGTATTTTCAGTAACCTCATAAGCATGTGAAAGTTGCACAGTGAATAAGGAAGACCGTAAAATAATTGATGCATTTGAGTTATGGTGCTGGAGGATAATTTTAAAAGTACCATAAACTGTCAAAAGAACAAACAAATCTGTGTTGGGCGAATGCTCCTTGGTTGCAAGAATGAAAAGAGTCAGTCTCTCATACTTTGGACATACTGTTAGGAGGAACCGGTCACTGCAGAAGGACATAATGCTTGGTAAAGTGGAGGGTCAGAGAAAAAAAGGAAGTCCCCCAACAAGATGGACTAGTACAGTGGCATTAGCAATGGACTCAAGTATTAACAACTGTGAGGATGGCACAGCACTGGGCAATGTTTCATTCTGCTGTGCACAGGGTCGCTGAGTCGGAATTGACTGGATGGCACCTTAACAACAACATATAAAAATTAACAGTACTTTCTGTGTAACTTACCTCATTTTTTGATTTCTCCTTGATCTGTGTTACAATTTTCTTTTTAGATTGTAGTTTGTCTGCATTGAAATTAATATATAAGCCACCCAACTGCT